CATTTATCGTGTTTCGATAAAATGATACTTCAATTCAATGTGCTTACATCTCGGAATGAAGGATTGGATTTTTAGCAAGACAAATAGCACTTTGATCAGTCACTAAACAACGGAGAACCATCTTGTTCTCTTCCTAATTCTTTTAGAAGGTTCTTCAACCATATCATCTCCTTCGCCGCTTCCGAGATAGCTACATACTCGCTTCGAGTGGTTGAGAGAGAGACCCTTCCTTGAAGTTTAGACTTCCAACCGATAGCTGTACCACCCAATGTAAAAATATAACCTCGTTGTGCTCTTTCTACCGTCAAGATCACCTCCCAAGTCCGCATCGAAAACCCCCGTAAAATGAGATTACTTCTCTTGAAAGACAAATGCATCTTTGAAGTGCCTTTCAAATATCCGAATATCCACTTCACTCCTTCCCAATGCTCCTTTCCGGGATTTGATAGAAATCGCTCACAACTCCCACTCGCATGTGCTATGTCCGGTCCGGTGCAAACCATAGCATACATCAAGCTTCCTACCGCAGATGCATATGGCACTTTAGACATGTGACTTTCTTCTTCTTCTCGTTTGAGAAGATTGCCTCTTTGAAAACTTTAAGTGAGTTCCCAAAGGTGTATTCCTGGTTTTAGCATTCCCAACATTGAATCTCGCTAAGCAATTTTTCTATATATTTTTCTTGAGATAAGTTCAAAATACCTTTATCTCTATCTCGGGAGATTCTCATACCAAGAATTTGCTTGGCCGGACCAAGATCCTTCATTTCAAAGCTCTCCGACAATTGTTTCTTCAACTTGTCAATTTCCGCCATATTAGCTCCAACAATCAACATGTCGTCAACATATAAGGCAAGAATGATATAGCTATCAACATATTTCTTCACATAACAACAGTGATCTTCTTCACATCTCACGAAATCCCGAGTTTCTCATAAACTCATTAAACTTCTTGTACCATTGTCTCGGCGCTTGTTTTAATCCGTACAAACTTTTATGAAGCTTGCATACAAGATTTTCTCCGCCTTGTACTTCAAAACCTTTTGGTCGTGTCATAAAAATTTCCTCTTCAAGATCCCCATGTAAGAATGCAGCTTTGACATCTAACCGCTCCAAATGAAGATTTTCTGCAGCCTACTATACTCAAGATAACTCGATGGTAGTCATCTTGACAACAGGAGAGAAAATTTCTGTGAAGTCAATTCCTTGTCTTTGTTGGAACCCTTTCACTACGAGTCTAGCCTTATATCTTTTGCCGCCATCCGGTTCTTCTTTCAACCTATAGACCCACCTGTTTTGCAAAACTTTCTTTCCTTCCGGTAGCTTGGTTAAAGACCATGTTTTATTCTTCCGAAGGGACTTTATCTCATCTTCCATTGCTAGCTCCCACTTAATAGATTCATCTCCCCGCATAGCCTCAAAGAAATGCTCCGGCTCACCGAAGATCGATCAACAACAAATAATGCAATGAAGGGGAATACCTTTGTGGTGCTACAATTGTTCCGCTAGATCTTCTAACCAAGATTTCAGGAGTTGCCGACTCTACTATTTGTTCAGGTTCCGTCTCAGTGCTCGACATAGGCTCTACTTGTATATTCTCGCCTTCGGTTGACTACATCACTTTCTAAAATTTCTTCTAATGATACTTGCTCTAGTCGTTTATTTACATTTGCGGATTCTCGCAATCCCGTCTCTATAGAACATGTTTTCATTAAAAGTAACATTTCTACTTCGATAATTTTCTTGTTTTGGTCATCCCAAAACCTCGTAGCCAAACATGTCAGATCCATAACCAATGAAATAACAACGTTTTGCCTTAGGGTCCAATTTATCTCTACTATTAGAGTCTAACATAACATATGAAGCACAACCAAAAACTTTCGGATGTGAAAGATTTACCTCTTTTCCGCACCATACTTCTTCGTGTAACTTATAGTCTAAAGGAACTCGATGGTCCTCTCGTTTATGAGATAGGTCACTGTGTTTATTGCATCCGCCCAAAATACCTTGGGTAATCCCGATCGGATTCTCATACATCTTGCTCTCTCATTCAAGGTTCTCGTTCATTCTTTCTCGCCACACCGTTTTGTTCCGGTGTTCCTGGAACTGTCTTGATCATTCCGATCCCATTCTCTCGAACAAAACTCCTTGAATTGACTACCGTCATATTCTCCACCATTATCGACTTCAAACATTTGACCTTTAAACCCGTTTGAGTCTCAACCTCCTTTTTCCACCTTTTAAACACGAAAACACATCGATTTATTTTTAAGAAAATAAACCCATACCTTTCTTGTAGAGTCATCAATGAAGGTTACATAATATTGTGAACCTCCAAGGGATTTCACCGAAGCCGGCCCCCAAACATCTCGTATGCACTAGTTCTAGTCTTTCAACTTTAGACGACTTACTTGTTTTTGAGAAGCTAACCTTTTTCTCGCTTTCCAAAGATACAATGTTCGCAAGGTCCAACGTCAACATGCTTCACGTTAGGTATTTTACCTTTTGATATCATGAGCTTCATTCCTTTCTCACTCATATGCCCAAGCCTCGATGCCATAAGGAGGAATTGTTGCCAACTTCTGCAACCGATATCATATCCTCATCTCGCAATCATGTAGAGAGATCCTTGCTTCTTTCCACGAGCAACAACAAGATTACCTTTCATTACCTTCCAATGTCCATCTCCAAAAGTGGTGTAATGTCCCTCATCATCCAACTGCCCTATAGATATTAAGTTTCTCTTTAAGGTTGGAATATGTCCGACATTATTCAAAGTCCACACGTTTCCATTAGAGGTTCCGATGTTAATATCACCTCTTCCTATGATATCAAGAGATTTTCCATCTCGCAAGGTAGACCTTCCCAAACTTTCCGAAACATAGTTAGATAATAGTTCTAAGGAAGGTGTAGTATGAAATGACGCACTCGAGTCCATAATCCATGAGTCAATAGAATTATCTAAACTACATAACAAGTGCATCTTCAACTTCATCAGTTGCTGCATTTGCTGATTGATCATCATCTTGCTTCTTGTTGTTGTTGTTGTCCTTCTTTGGAGCCCTACACTCGATTTGAAAAGTGGCCCTTTTTCCGACAATTCCAACAAGTGATATCATTCCGGACTTTTGCTTGTGATCTCCCTCTCGGATTTTGATCTGCCTCGGCCTTGATTACGACCTTTCGGCGACTTCTTCCTCTAGTTTCAGTACTCAATGCTGAACTCGAATTAGAACCGAAAGATTCTATCGAATTTTTTCTGCGAACATCTTCGCTTAAGATCAAGTCACGGATGTTATCAAGCTTCAACTTGTTATTGCTTGCGAATTACTTACTCGCAGTAATAGCTTGCACCCCAACTTTCCGGTAGAGATGATAATAAAATTAATGCTTTCACCTCATCATCAAATATTATCTCGCACTGATGTCAACTGCGCAATAATTGCATTAAATTCACTAATATGATTAGTAACCGAGTTACCTTCACCCATTTTGAGGTTGACTAGCCTGCGAATCAAATGCACTTTATTGGCTGCAGAGGGCTTCTCATACATATTTGACAACGCCTGCATCAAATCTACGGTTGTCTTTTCGTTCATGATGTTGAACGCAACATTCTTGGCTAATGTCGACCGGATCACACCAAGCGTCTCGCCGATCTAACAACTCCCATTCTGATCGCTCCATGTCGGTTGGCTTCGCCCTGTCAAGGGTAGATACAACTTCTTCCGATACGAGATAATCTTCCATCTCGCATCTTCCGAACCCGAAGTCACCGCCATCGAACTTCTCGATCCTCACCTTTCCTTCTTCCAATGCCATTGCTCTCACCGCTTTCGAAGAAAGCTCCCATCGCTTCTCTAAACCGAGATTCCCAAGAAAAAGACCAAATCTTTTTCGATGTGGAAGATCGAACAAAGCCGCAACCACGAGCATACTAAGAAAATTGGCTCTTGATACCAATTGTTAGGATCGAGCGCTTACCACTAGGCCAAAAGCTATAGCCATTAGTCAGAGCGCAACTCTTTTTACTTTAACGACCCAAGCGCCACGATTCAATTGTGACTCGGCCCACTCGACCTTCGTCACAGGACAATTGATGCTACCTGCAACAATCTCCCCTCAGCAATTGTCCTACAAGGTATCCCACTCTTGGATTGTGACTTGGCCCACCCGGCCTCTGCCACGGGACAATTGTGCAACCTGCAACAATCTCCCCCTCAACAATTGCCCACCAGGAATCGAACTCGTGACCTTGGCTCTGATACCAATTGTTAGGAACAAGACAATAATAAAAGAAAGAATGAAGGAGAGAAAAATAAACGACACAAGAATTTTAACGTGGTTCGGCTAAAATATGTATGCCTACGTCCACGACTACACTAGGAAGTAATTTTTATTTCTGTGTGTATCTCAAACTTTACATAGGGTTGCTTATATAACAAAATAGAGAACCTCATCTCACAATCCTAATCGATGTGGGACTAAATCAAGCACCATAATACTAACACAAGTGAAGAATACTGTAAGCATTTTTTATAAGGACTTCGTGCTCCAGGGACTTGGTTAATGATGACAAATTTAATGGTAGTTGTTAATCGTTGCATAATGGTTGGTTGCACAAATTAATGCTTTCTTTAATTAAAAAGAGAACAAGGAAAAAAGAAGAAGGAAGAAAACAAATATTTTTGTTTCAAACTCCAAAATCGTTATTGAAAAAGGGAACGAAATCTGGAACCTTCAGTGAAGTTAGCATTTACAAATTATTTCTTCTTCCATGACAAGCTTTAGGTCAAAGTCTTTGTGTGTTTCTGTGTTGAGGGACATATTTTTTCAGGCAACAGTACCAATGCCAGAAAATTTGTTCACCGAAATCGTTGCAATGTTAACTGTATTTTCTTGTCGATCATGAATGATATAACAAGTACAAACTCTTAACAGTATAAATAGAGTTCCACTCAACCAAGTTCAGACCAGCAGTTCTTCATATTTCTTCTAATCATGAATATATTTCCCTCACAATATGCAATCATCTTTGCCTGGTTGCTATGCGCAATCATGTTCAACACTGGCTGGTGCAACCTTCATATCCGCTGCAACCAGAAAGACAAGGATGCCCTCTTAAACTTCAAGCAAGGAGTCAAGGATCCAGCTGGTGTGCTCTTTTCATGGTCCACTCAACAAGATTGTTGTGAATGGAAAGGAGTCACGTGTGACAATTTCACAAGTAGAGTTACCCAACTCAGTCTCCCTTGCTCTACAACTCTTCCAACTTACACTGATTATATGGATAAATCACACTGTCTCGCAGGTTCCATTTACCTATCCTTGTTAATGGTGGAGTTTGAATTTCTATATCACTTGAATTTGAGCAATAATGACTTCTCCACTATCCAATTTGGTTCTCATGTGCATAGTCAGAATTGTCATAATCTATCTGTAGGTATTCCTTCCAATCAATGTGTAAACTCTTCAGCTATTCGTTATCTTGATTTATCATTTAACAATCTTGCCATCACTAGTCTTGATTGGCTTTCTCATTTTTCCTCCTTGGAATATCTGAACCTCGATGGCATTGATCTTCACAGAGAAACCAAATGGCTTCAGTTAGTCATTATGCTTCCATCACTTTTAGAGCTCCACATGCGTCATTGTCAGCTTGAAGACTTGAGTCCGTCTCTTCAATATGCTAATTTTACTGCACTCAAAGTCCTTTCTCTTCCTGGAAATGGTTTTCACTCAGAGTTACCAAAATGGTTATTTAATCTTAGTTGTGATATCTCTTCTATTGACCTAGGGTCAAATTTATTAAAAGGCCAACTGCCTGAGGCGTTGTTAAATCTTCAACACTTGGAAGCCTTGGAATTGGATGATAATAACTTCAATGGACCAATTCCACATTGGTTAGGCGAATTTCAACATCTGCAACATGTAAATCTTAGAAAAAACATGTTTTCTGGATCTATTCCCTCAAGTTTGGGAAATCTATCATCCTTACTTATCTTGTCTGTAAGCTCAAATAGATTGACAGGAGTTGTGTCTGAGAAACATTTTGTCAAACTGTCAAAACTAAAGGATTTGCGTATATACATATCACCACCATTAATCTTTGATTTTGATTCCCACTGGGTTCCACCTTTTCAACTTGAGCGATTAGTTCTTTCATTTTCAGGTCCTAAATTTCCTGTCTGGTTATATACACAAAAATCTCTTGAACATTTAATTATTTATGAATCATCATTTGAGGCTAAAGAAAAATTTTGGAGTTTTCTGTCAAGAATGAAAGAAGTCCATTTAGAACGTAATTCAATAGATGGGAACTTGTCAAACGTGTTGTTGAACTCTACATTCATATCATTGTCATCAAATGATCTGAAGGGTTTGTTGCCTCGATTATCATCCAACGTGGTCGTTGTAAGGTTGCCAAACAACTCATTATCAGGAAACATGTCTTTTCTCTTGTGTGATCATGAGATGTTAAGTGGGAACAACAACTTGGAGTACTTGGACATATCTCTCAATCTTGTGTCAGGAGGACTTACAAATTGTTGGGAAAATTGGAAATCATTGGTTCACATTAATTTAGGAAGCAATAATATAACAGGCGAGATACCTTCATCAATGGGCTTGTTATCTAATCTTACGTCACTCCATCTGCATGAGAATAAGCTCTATGGAGAGATTCCTTCCTCCCTGAAAGATTGTCACTCTCTATTAATCTTCAATGTTCGTGAAAATGATTTTTCAGGAAATATACCAAATTGGATACTGCATGGTGCAAAAGCTCTCCAATTAAGGTCCAATCATTTTGGAGGAAATATCCCATCACTTATATGCCAAATGTCTTCCCTTATTGTGTTGGATATCGCAAACAACACAATCTCAGGACCTATACCCAACTGCCTTCACAATATCGCAGCCTTAGTTTCCAACAATGCTTCACACAACAAGCTTTCTTTTCACTTTCCTATGGGTGATGGTCGTCACTACACCTTTGAAGACAATCTTGAGCTGGTCATGAAGGGTCAAACATTAGAATATGGAAAAAACCTGCACTTTATGAGCTTAATTGATATGTCAAGTAACAATTTGTCTGGAACATTACCTCCCCAAATGTTTAGCCTCATTGGGTTATGTTCCTTGAACTTGTCACACAACAAATTAACAGGAAAAATACCGAGTGAGATTGGGAACATGAACAAGTTGGAGTCTCTTGATTTGTCAACAAACCAACTTTGGGGTGAAATTCCCCAAACTCTATCAAATTTGTCCTTTTTGAGTTACTTAAACCTGTCATTCAATAATTTCACAGGCAAAATACCATCAGGAACACAACTTCAAGGGTTCAGTGCACTTAGCTATATAGGTAATCGTGATCTTTGTGGACCTCCACTTACAAAAATGTGCTTTCAAGATGCAAAGCAAATACATGAAGATGGGCAGACATCTGAATTTTTTTCCTGGTTTTATATTGGAATAGAAACTGGATTTGGCACAAGCTTTTTTGGAGTTTGTTGTGCCATTTTCTTAAATAGAAAATGGAGGCATGTTTACTTCAAGTTTCTTTATGGCTTAATAGATCGACTTTACGTCATGGGGCTCATCACTATAAATTCGTTCTCCTTGCATAGATAGCCATAGTGGTAAGTAAAAACTTCCAATTTAGATTGTTAATATATCCCTGTTTAATTTTTAGATAAAGTGTTTTAACAAATTATAGCTTCTACACGATTTACCAACATATTCCTTTGTTTCCTTTCTATTCCAAGTATTTTATCAAGTTATAACTCCTTCACACATGTTTTATTTGCATGAAATATTTGTAAGTTGACAATGTTTTGTTCACATGAACTCCTTCACTACCCTACCCTACCCTACCACACACACAGACTTGTTTCATTAGCATGGAACATTTTCATGATGAAAATGTTATCGTCTTATATAAAGCCCTACTTCAGTTTCATGTCATTCATCGCTCACTAGGTTTACCATAATGATAACGCTTTTATTATATTATATATGTAGGCATTCAAGAAAAACAAATACAGTGATGCAATTTGATGGCAAGATTTAGATTTGGTTATTGTTAGTTTTTTATTCCATTGAGAGATCGTGAATCGTGATGACAGTTCTACCACTTCTCTTTTGTTTCTTTATTTTCCCTTGTAAGGATCTTACAATATTGTGTAATGGTGTTAATCACTGTAGGAGTATTAATCTTATCATATTTGAATAAGTTTTTGGATGATGTATACATTTTCATTTCCAAAAACCTTTACTTTACTTTTCGAATCTAAGTTTCTTGTTCATTTATAATCTTAATGTTTTTGTTTTATCTTTTTCAGGTCTTTAATTATCTTACACACGTTATCCCTCTCATTTTTTTCAATTAGTTGAAATTTCTATAAGGTTATGTTTGAAAAATTAATTTTACATTTTAGGAAATTGAAAATGTTAAAAAGTTGAATTGTTTTGATTTAAGTTTCTCTTATTTTTGAATGTTTTGTTTCTACTAATTAATTTCATTTTAAAAAAAATTAAATTCTTACTTTTTTTATTTTTTATTGACTAATTTTTTTAAGACAATAAAAATTTAAACTAAGAATTAAAAAAGCTTAATAGTGTCAAAGTTTTTTGTTCGTAAATTCTAATAGAAAAAAAAATCCTCTAAAAATATTCAGTTTTTAAATTTTTCATAAATTTTAAACTCTCTTACCAATGTTCATAAAAACTGGTACTAAAGAAAAAAAAATATATATATATATATATATATATATATATATATATATATATATATATATTACTTATCCTAAAATATTTTGATTCCAGTTAAATGTAATACTGTATGATTTATTTTATCGAAATACCCTTAAGAATACGACTTTTTTTTAAATCATATTAAACAAATTATTATTTAAAAAATAGACCCACCTATTTTATTTATCTAAATAAACCTATTTACTAATAAATTCGATCGAACTGTGTTTTTTTCTTCTATATTATATATATATATATATATATATATATATATATATATATATATATATATATATATATATATATTTATATTACCTAAATAAACCTATTTACTAATAAATTCGATCGAATTGCATTTTTTTCTATATTTAAAAATATATATATATATATATATATATATGATATAATTAAATATTATTATATTTATATATGAAAATAATTTAATAATTATATATTAATATATTTTAAATATTTATATACTTGTATTTATATATATATATATATATATATATATATATATATAAATATAAGCTGTCGAAAAAAAAAAATTAACGCAGTTTGAAAATCGAATTTTGATTTTTCTATAGTTTCAGTGTTGTAGATTCCTATTCGAAATTTGGTTCTCTGAACCGAACTCTGATCTTTAACGTTATAGGTCTATTTGGATAAATAAAGTAAGAGGTTTATTTTCATAAATAATAATTTTTTGAAGTTAAAAATAGAGTTTGTGTTTAGTTTTCATACCCATTATGTTGTCTTTGCTTCTCCGGAGTGCGTCTCCTTCGAACCACATCACACAAGCTAGAAGGAGATAACAGAGAAAACAATGGCTATGATCGCGAAGAGTACCAAGACCACCACCTCCTTATCCGTCCCAAATCTCTTCCTCTTCTTCACACTCCTCTCCGTCTTCTCCTTCTTCATCTTCCTCTTCTTCACCACCTCCACAACCCTAAACTCTTCTCCCTCCCCTCACGCTTCTTCCACCATCAACGTCTACGTCGCCGACCTCCCCCGATCCCTCAACTACGACCTCCTCCACCGTTACTGGTTCTCATTCTCCGATTCTCGACTCCCCACCGACACAGATCACCAGGCTCCTCTATTCCCCCATCGAACAGCCAAATTCCCGCCCTACCCTGACAACCCTCTCATCAAACAGTACAGCGCGGAGTACTGGATCATGGGCGACCTCATGACCCCTCCCAAGCACCGCGCCACATCCTTCGCCAAGCGCGTCCTCGACCCACTTCTCGCCGACGTCGTTTTCGTCCCATTCTTCGCCACGCTCAGCGCGGAAATGCAGCTCGGCGCGAACAAGGGCGCGTTCAGGAAGAAGGTCGGTAACGACGACTACCAGCGGCAGAGGGAGGTCATGGACGCCGTTAGAAGCACCCAGGCCTGGAACCGATCCGGTGGACGAGACCACGTGTTTGTGCTAACCGGTGCGTTTTGGAAACCGTTTTTTTTTTTTTTTTTTTTGCGTTGAATGTCAGAGTTTTTCGGCTTATGAATTTCTAGTCTTTGGATTCTCAGGGTATTAAAACTGAAGCGTTGTTTGGCAGACCCGGTGGCCATGTGGCATGTCAAAGACGAGATTGCCCCTGCTGTTTTGCTCGTTGTGGATTTTGGTGGTTGGTACAGGCGTGACTCCAGAGGTTCTAACCGTAGCGAGAGTGATGTGATTCCTCATACTCAAGTTTCTGTGATTAAAGATGTGATTGTGCCTTACACGCATTTACTTCCGAGGTTGGATTTGTCACAAAACAAGGAGCGGCACCTGCTTCTGTATTTCAAAGGAGCTAAACATAGGCACCGGGTTAGTATTGAACTTCCCATGTTTAACTTTGGTACATTTCTTGTGTATTATGTTGTGGTTGCTGTTACCATAATTGATATTGTGGGAAATTGCAAAAAATGTGGCTGATTCAGCAACAATTCTCAGAAGCTTGATGTTGCCGTTGCAATGGGGGTTGTGAATTGTTTTTTAAAACCTTGTGACTTATTATTAGTTTCTTTGACTGTGTTAAGTGATGGAGTTTCTTGAGTGAATGTTGTTCCTTTTGTGTAATAATACTTGTTCTTGATGAGATTTTCACTTAAGATATATACGTTCTTGGATAAATTTAGCTTTGGAGTGTCGTGATGCTGTCTTGTCAATGATGTGGTTTATCTTTTTTTGAATAAGATTATATGAAAATTTCCTTTGCTCCTGCCCCTTGGTGAGGTTAAAAAAGGTTCCAAACTTGAGCAGATCTGTCATCTGTGTCTGCGTTTCTACAATTTTTTTCAGAGAAAAGAAAAATTGTGTTGGTCACATCTATTCTTTGGAGTATTGTTACTCAGAGGTTTTTTGAGGCAAAATGTTCTTTTTTCTATCTCTGATTATAAGACAATCTCCTCCACGTTTTGGACATGACTGTGATAAGAATTAATCATCTTATTGTACCTATCTCCAAGACAGAAGGCATTATTGAGTTATTTGGCGACTTCTTACCTGTGACTGTGATATTACTTTCAACCTGGCTTTTTTATGAAAAGAGGGATATGCCACTAGATAGATATAGATAATTACTTACAAGGTTTTGATCTTTCATCTTATAGCTTCCTACTTGCACTAGATGTTTTATTGAATCTGTCATCTGGCAAATATGATTCATGATTAAATGGCGTTTGAATTTACTGAAAAAACTGTTTGTGGGAAGTATAGAATTGTTTTCCCTGTTCTAAAAGTATGGTTTACCCTTTGAGAACCAATAACAAAATAGGTCCAACATTTTCTACCACATATATCACACCTACTTTTTGACACTGCAAAGATTATTATTTTAAATGTTTACTGCTGTATTAAGAAGTTATTGGGGTTAAGGATTGATCTGACCTATATATAACTTACTTCACAAAATATCTAGTTTTGTAATCAAATTCTGTTTCTCATGTCTTGGTTTGGTGGGGGCTACTGTGAAACACTTCGTTGTCATAATTAGCTTATATCATAATGTTGGTTATAAATATTTAACCTTGTAGGATTTTTTTCTCATGATCAAATATGAAACTTAGCTAATTCATTCATGCTCAACAAAGCATGGAAAATTGATTCCACGCTCTATTTTACTGTAAATAGAAACCGACTATTCATTATCATACTCATTTGGCATATACATATGGTCATTCTGAGCCTTCTAATTGTGAAAACCTAAAACAATATCTGTTCCATGCCTATCTCGTTTATTGACAAATATTTCAATCTTCAGGGAGGTATAATTAGAGAGAAGTTATGGGATCTAATGATCAATGAGCCTGGTGTTATAATGGAAGAAGGTTTCCCTAATGCAACTGGGCGAGAGCAATCAATCAAAGGGATGAGAACATCAGAATTTTGTCTGCATCCAGCTGGGGATACACCAACTTCATGCCGACTTTTTGATGCAATACAAAGTCTCTGTATACCTGTCATTGTCAGTGACAGCATTGAGCTGCCATTTGAAGGTATGGTGGATTATTCAGAATTTTCTGTTTTTGTGGCAGTTAGTGATGCATTGAAACCAAGCTGGCTTTTCAATCATCTTAAAAGCTTTTCAAAAGAGCAGAAAGACAGGTTCCGTCAAAATATGGCTCAGGTACAGCCCATCTTTGTCTATGATAATGGTCATCCAGGTGGTATTGGACCAATACCCTCCAATGGTGCAGTGAATCACATATGGATGAAAGTTCACCAAAAACTGCCAATGATAAAAGAAGCCATAATTCGAGAGAGAAGAAAGCCACCGGGTGTTTCAGTTCCACGACGTTGTCATTGTACTTGAATTTTAATAGTTCTTTTTTATTTTGTTCTTTTAAATATGGGTTAATATCTGGTTAGGTTTTATACCAATTCTTTTCTTTTGGTGGGTGGAGGTTGTTTTAAATCTTTAGATAGTGAAACTTATTTGTATGGTGTAGAAGTTAGCTGCCATGCCATTGACCGTGAGTAGTGTGTTACTAAGTATATCAATCTTGCTGCACCTGAATTGATATGTTTCCATGGTTCTGTTTGTATTGTAGACTGATAAGTTTTTCACAGTGAAATATTGATCGATAATTTTTATTGTTTATTATCCGAGTCACCAATTTCTCTTTTAAAGGTTTTCTATGCAGCGTAAGGATGGGATGTTACATGTATCAAGCTTGTTCTCATTATGATCAGAGTGAATAACCATGTTTTTGGCTGGTTGAGTTGTTCTCCATAAAGCAGCTATTCAGAATTCCACAAAATGAGGCTCCGTAGGATGAGGAAAAGAGAGGAAGTTTGAGACAGTCCCAAAGTGTACATGTGATATGGATATGTTCAATATCTAAGTAAAGGGAACAACACCATATTTTTTGGAAGTTCCTTAATTTGCAGTGAAAATTCTTGTAGGAATATACATTTCCTTCTACAGCATTAACTTTTGGTAGCAATTTGCTTTCAGCTTGGGCAATGTTTATGCCTTTACGTAGTTTTGATAGGGATAAGGCTGTTTGCACAATTATATGTTACATGTATAAATTGTGAAGAGCGTTTTCCTAGGCATTTTGTTCAAATATTTAAAATTGAATTAAATCCTTATTGAATTTTAATTGAGTTGTATTGTTATGAACTGGATTTTTTTTTTTAAATTATCAATCAATAAAAAAATCTTTTTCATGTAGTCAATTTTAAAAATTTATTATAGAAGTTAATAAAGCTATCTTATATAATATGGGATTGAATCACATAATAAAAACACAATAATTTTTAATTACCCATGGGACACCATATGGGATTTATCCCTTTCAACGTAATAATGTGGTGACATGGAAATGACACCATATAACATGGGATTTAAAACAAGCTTATTTAAAATATAAAAAAAAAAATTAAAGCATGAGCATTTATTGTAAATGTAAAGAAGAAAAATAAAAATAAAAACAAGGGGGAGGGGTTATAAAGGCAAGCTAGCATCTGTACCTTTCATTGATTAAATGAACCTTTACATTTACCATAGGCTTTACAAAAATTTACTCATCTCATACAGGAAGAGGATGAACCTGTAAATGACAGCATCCCTAGAAATTCGCTAAAAATTGCAGAATAGCAGGGCTAGGTTTATAATCAATATTTCACTGTCTATATACAGTGCTACCTACTTGCATAAATTCTCAATTTATATATATATATATTGGAGAGAGAAATCACAGGATTTGGGACACAGAAACCACTCGGCACTCTTGTGCTAGGGCTTTTGCTGGGAAGGATGATCATCTTCTTCCCCCGAGCAACAAAGTTTGCAAGGATTGGAGGATTTCTGAGAACACCAGTGATCTGGAACACTAAAAAAATATGTAGACATAAACTTTCTGAACCTCTTTTTGTACTCTTTAGGAGAGATTACAGTTGGCAACACATTTTTTGGCACAACAAGTGATGACTTCATCCATGTCTCCAAATGCTTGTCCCAGGTATACTGCCTGAGATAATCAATGATACCGCAGACTAGCTCGCGCTTCTGAGAATCTACTCCAACAAGCAAGGAGTAATCCATCACATTGATTGACTGCATGTTGAGGAAACAATGAACGAACAATGTCAGCTACTCAGGAAAAGAAGTCCAATTGTCTGTTAAGAATTTAGGAACCAATACCAGCAATGGATTACAGGTGTATTTAGTAGGGTGAATTAGGGAGGAAAGAATGAGGGAAAGGTATAAGAATTCTCAATATTTGAAAATATTGTTCATATTCAAATAAATTCCAAATTATTTTCAGTCTACTCCATGTATTAACACAAGAAACTGGTTCATACTACATTTCAGTAAAAAAAGTTGGGCCTATAGGCATAATGCTTGTGATGCAGACTTACATTCAGAAAAGATGTGTCATTCCAAACAGCGCGTTGAAGAACACGCTTTGCTTTATGACTGACATATAATGGAGAAGAGTTCATGTCATTCACAAAGTTCTGATCCAAAAGAACATCTCCAGCACCACCATCAGCAGCAGAATTGTACCGGGCATAAAGAGCACCTTTAAGATCATACTGGCGAGTAATATTTCGATTGTAGGTAAGATTTTCCATCACCATGAGGTCATATTTAACCTCTTTTCCACTTTTAACATGTCTTTTAGTAACCTGCATTGAGGTTTAAACTTTTAAAATTCCATGAAGCCAGAAAATGTAACAGTGTTTTATTATATCCTTTTGTCTCCCTATTTATTTGTTTTTTTTTTTTTTCATTTTTAATCCTAAAAAGATAAGGAAAATTATGATCCCTGTTGAGGACTAAACTACTTTGTTAAATGTAGGATCTAAAACTAGAAACAAAAAATGTAAATAGGGGCTGAAATTTAAATAAATAGGTGAAGAAGTTGGCCAATGGAAAAGAAAAAGACGTGCAAACAGGCCACCAACCTGGTATATCCCCAAGACTTTTGCAAGACAAGTTTGACTTCCAGACTCAAATGACTCTCTCATGTGTTTGAAATAAAGAGAGGAAAACCCTAAAAATGATTCAAGTTCTGTCTTCTTTATTTCCTTTATGATGAATCTGTCATCAAGCGTTTTTGCGAAATAGGACTTGCTTTTGCCACCTTTAGCATCCCAATTCCTACAGCGGCTTAAAGAAGCAATAAAATCAAGCTCAGATGGGCAACACCAATTTCTAAGTTCACGGAACTGCTTAAAATAATGGCATATCACTGAATATTTTTCCCTCCCAAGTGATTTTGCATAACCCATAGCAATCTCTATGCTATGGTTTTCTGTAGCACGAGAGGATCGTGACTCTTCTGAAGAAGTGCTTCCTCCTGTAGAATGTACAGACTCTGAATCTGAAGAGCTTCTTGAAAATGATTGTGCAGAAGTTAAGGTAGCACCATGGCTCAAGCTATGAAAACTTTCTGTTGAATTTGAATTCATTCCAATTTCATTTCTATCATCCTCAGCATCAACTTCTGATACCTCCTCATATGTATCTTTCAGTAACGCCAGTGCACAAGCAATAATACTTGAGGGTTCACCCTCGAAGTCAGATACAACATGATTGTCAGTCTTGAGAGGGATGTGTAACCTTGTACCTTCCTCAGTGATTAATTGATTGGCTGTGGGTATATAGTCAGCAATAGAGCTGCTTACAGACTCAAATTTTGGTAATAATCTTTTCTGGAATTCCCTTATGCCTATCTGCCGAATATCAGTAAATGGCTTCCAGAACCAATCATTTGAATCCAGCAAGTTGGAAACCGGTGAATTGGAAGCACTTTTATTTAATACCTTTAAATCTGCGCCTGGATGATTAGTTGGAATATCTGTAGAAAGTGGGGAGTTTTGGCGTACTTCCAGAGGATATGGAAACTGAGTGGAAACATCTAGACTTTTCAACTTTTGGTCAGAAGATCTCCGTGACATCAAATCATTAACAACTGGTATTTTCATATCCTGAGTGTTAGATGGATCATCCTGTCCATTACACTCCAGACGAGGTCCACCAATAGGAATTTCCTTCATTGGATGTTCATGTACTTGAACGGACGTGTCAAACGTAATTTCCACATCCCCATCCCCATCTTGCATAACTTTCTCAGAGACATCAGATTCAAGTCTTAAACCATCAGGTGCGTGTAACGGGTACAAGCGTTGAACCCAGACATAGGATTCAATCAAAAGATCCCACATTAACCGGTTTAAACTGAGAAGTTTAAACGCAGCCTGGTCTGGATCCCCTTTTTTAGCAACGGCAGTCTTGATATTTGCCTGTTATCAGAACACAAAAAGTCAAAGGATGAGGAAATTAGTACTCATGATACTAATCACAATATGAAAGGCTTCCATTAAGGGGAAAACATGAAATCAAATGAAATGAAAATCCAAAACTAATGTATCACTAGCAACAACTTATATCTTTCCACATTATATTAAACTAAATCTTGCATTGGCAATGAAACTTCCGGTTAGACCTTTAGTGATAGCTATATCAAACTTTAAACTTTTCTTGTACTAATTCCATCACAAACTGTAACTTCCATTTCATGTATTTTTATCCAAGTTATTTTCATTATTGTTAATGTAGTATAGCATATCATCTTAAACAAATATAAATCCAAATTTAAGGTTATAGCAAGAAAGGAGAGATTTAGGGCTTGCAACTTCTAGAAACACATTCAAATTATAGGACTTGAGTTGCTTCCATGTCAAAAGAAATATCTAAATCATTTCCAAACAGAAAGCTAACCTCGAAGTCTTCTTGCTCTTGCTTTAACATCTTCTCAATCTCAGAGAAATCTCTAATCGACCCTCCAAGGCCATCAAATTGTATTGTCTTCAAACAGTTTGCCACTTCTCTGAATAATGATATGCCTTTGATATACACCTTAAAACAGAGAAAAAAAAAAAGGTACTTTAAATGTGGGCAATGCATGGGAATTAAGAACATAACTATGCTCAACTTGTGTATATTATATTTCAGCCAGTACAAACGAAAGAAATATCTATATGAAATTAGCATACATTCTTGGTCTCTTTTAAAAGCCATTCTTGTCTCATTGCACCACAGAACTCCAGTTTTCGAGGAGGCATAGACACGGTATATGTGGTGACAGAAGAATATCTGAACATAGCAACCATGTGACCTAATCTGCATGATAAGGAATGACATCAATAAAACCCTCCTTGAGTCATGAACCCATAAATCATGGACCCATCTTAAAAGTACTTTGGTAGCACTTCAAATTTGTAGCACAAAGGAAATAAACAGAACCTTACGTAATACCCTAATTCATAATCGTCAGAAGTCAAGGTGACATGCTAATA